GACACAAACGCGAATGATTGTATTTTCAGACCGGAATCAATTTTAACTCTGACTTTATGCTATACTGGAGAAATGTACAATTTGGGTTCTACAAAAGTAAGGAAAAAAAACACTAAACAAACCTTCATTATAAATTTAATAATTATTCTTGCTAAGTTCCATATCCACAAATCCAGATGGAGTAAATAAACCTATTTTTTTAATTTTTCAAGCAGAAACAAAGCAGTATCTGAGTTTTATTAAGGATTCCAAAAACAAGAAAGCTGTTAAGACTCTGGCTATATGCTCCTTATTTGAAATTTTTGTTTAAAAATCCCCCGGCTTCTCTTTTTGTTTAAATGTTTGTAATAAGTACATGTATTAATAACGTTTTCGTTTTGTTTTCTGTTTACTGAGAATTGTATTGTGACTTGTTCAATAAAGATCGTTTAAAAAACAAAAAAAAAACAAGAAAAAAACGATATCAATTTTGGTTTAGACCGGAAGTCCCATTCCATTTCACACCCCTATGCTCCTAGTAGTGGTATCTTCCAAAGATGGCAGCCTCCGTGTTGAGATGCTGCATGAACGCTGCTGTCAAAGTTAAACGTGTATCTCCATCTGTATCAGGTAAGTAGTCTTCCAATTGCCTGAAATACATTTGATGTTACATGCGGTCAGTTTGTCGTATTATATGAACTGGAATTGTGTGGTAGTTTTCACGTGGAATCAAGAAGAGCTAAATATCCGCTACTGATACCCCACAAGTCATCACTAGCTTACAACAGCGTCAGTCTATCTATTTGTCTTTCATCGCAGAGGTGGCAAAAGTGGACTTTTCAATTCCGTGTTAACAGTAATAAATACAATGTGTGTCTGCAGCCAGACGATGGTTACTTTCAGCAGCTTACTCAGACAGCACATTGTGGGAGGCGAGAGAAAAAGACCCTCAGAATTTGGGTAAGAACAACATCATTCCCATTCAGTGGCTCAAATTTATGCACATCATACGGATTAAATTCTTGAGGTGACTGTTATGTGAGAAGAATTACTTTTTTTTCCACTTAGTCTCTCGAAACAACACACACGATTAAAAAAAACATAATTAAATTGTACATAATTGTAATGGTGGAAACGCTTTTCAAATGCTTTATCTTGGTCTTATTTTCAGTATAACACCTGACATTTTAACTGGGGTGTGCCGATGTCTTATATCAGCGTTATGTACTGCACTGCAGTGGAACAAAAGCGACCGTATGTTATATGATTCTGCAAAACCACAAGGTGGGAGTGTAGCTCCACTTTTGGTCATTGGGCGCCATCAGCATGGACTCCAATTATAAAACAGAAAGATTTGTTACATTTCAAAACTGCAACTGTTGATTTGTGGTTGTTGAGCTTTTTTTTTTTTTTTTTTTAGTAAGTCCAGCAACTATTTGACAGTTGCTGGACTGCTCAGGCCAAATATTAATTTGTTGTTCTCTATTGAAAAAAAAACAAAACTTCAAGCTTTGCTGGCCAGCAACATGGACGGGTTATATGAGAGGAACCTTCCTGTTAGCTCCCTGACTGTGTCACAGGTGAGTTTTGACATTTATATAACTCATACTTGATGTTATTATAAGGTTGGCTTTCACCGGCTTAATTTGTTCATTTTTTTTTTCCCAGTTCGTTGACAACATATCATGCCGAGAGGAGGTGGATCAAGCCGAGTACTACCTTTACAAGTCAGTCCAATCTGTTGCTGCCAATGTCACAGCTATGCTTTTGCAAGCTTTATTCTCTGTGTTTTCCCAGGACGTATTGTCTGTTTGGCTTGTCTCTCCCTCACATGCTTTGCTTTGTTCCTACTTTTCCTGTCTATTCTTTCCACTGGAAATCTGATTCCGACATTTACGACATTTCTCGATCGTTCACATGCTCCCTTCACATGCATTTTGATGAGCAACTAAATATTTACCAATGCTAAGATGGTTGTGTCAATGCCACATTTTGTTAGTGAACAGGATTGCACGAAAGCTAATCATCAAATTTCCCAAAAACATTTTGGAGGGTCACTCAAGGAATGAATACTTTTCAGTTACTTTACCGTATTTATTTATTTTTTTCACTTTTGCATGCATTACAAGATATCATCTACAGAAATGACGTTGCCCTCGGCTGGACTGCTCAGGCCAAATATTAATTTGTTGTTCTCTATTGAAAAAAAAACAAAACTTCAAGCTTTGCTGGCCAGCAACATGGACGGGTTATATGAGAGGAACCTTCCTGTTAGCTCCCTGACTGTGTCACAGGTGAGTTTTGACATTTATATAACTCATACTTGATGTTATTATAAGGTTGGCTTTCACCGGCTTAATTTGTTCATTTTTTTTTCCCAGTTCGTTGACAACATATCATGCCGAGAGGAGGTGGATCAAGCCGAGTACTACCTTTACAAGTCAGTCCAATCTGTTGCTGCCAATGTCACAGCTATGCTTTTGCAAGCTTTATTCTCTGTGTTTTCCCAGGACGTATTGTCTGTTTGGCTTGTCTCTCCCTCACATGCTTTGCTTTGTTCCTACTTTTCCTGTCTATTCTTTCCACTGGAAATCTGATTCCGACATTTACGACATTTCTCGATCGTTCACATGCTCCCTTCACATGCATTTTGATGAGCAACTAAATATTTACCAATGCTAAGATGGTTGTGTCAATGCCACATTTTGTTAGTGAACAGGATTGCACGAAAGCTAATCATCAAATTTCCCAAAAACATTTTGGAGGGTCACTCAAGGAATGAATACTTTTCAGTTACTTTACCGTATTTATTTATTTTTTTCACTTTTGCATGCATTACAAGATATCATCTACAGAAATTAAATTGCCCTCAGCGGCATGGCCAACTAGCAGTAAGCACACCTCTTACTCAGGAAATTGTGGGTTTGAATCTTGGCTCAGTGGGTTCACTGAAGACTCAAAATGTTCCATTCGTATTAAAGTGAGTACAAATTGTTTGTTATTTCACTGTACGTGCCCTGCCCTGATTGGCTGGTGATCAGTCCAGGGTGTATCCACGCCTCTCTCCCAAAGTCAGCAAACCCAATGAGGACAAGCGCTATAGAGAATGGATGGACGAGTGAAATTTCTTCGGAAATAATGACAATAATTGTCGTTTTGTAGAGCTTGTTTCATGCGCTAAATGCCTTTCGAGAACGTGTTAATGGATAATTAAGAACTGAGGAATAATTCAAGTGTTATCACCCCTTGCTTGTTTTTATTGTATTTAGTGTATTTATTTTTAAGCTAAAAATGACAATACCAAGTCATTCTTACATGATGCTGTATAAATTGTAGCAAAGAAATTCAAGATGGATGCATCTGTGAAGGTGTAAGAATCCCTTACGTGCCTCAGCTGAGGTCTACTGAGTGTCATTCTTGTTGGTGCTGGATACACATGCAGCTATTTATATGGGTGTGTTGTGTATGTCAGTTGCGAGGACTATCATTTGTTGTTGATTTCACTTCTGCTTGTGCAGTCACACCTCTTTATCTTGTATCATATCGCCATACTGTGCTTCATGATTAAAAAAAACAAAAAACAGAACTAAAAATATCCTCACACTTTTTGTTTGTTGCCCGCCAAGGTTCCGTCACAGTCCAAATTGTTGGTACCTTCGAGAGTGGACTGTTCACAGTTGGATCAGGCAGTGTCTAAAATACGGTGCCAGAGACAAGGCCCTGCACACGCTTCGAAACAAGGTACACATTAGTTTACGGCATCATTTCAATTGGCTCAGAAACAACAGAAGTCAGTCATAATAGAATTTTCGAATCATGTCCGACGAAATGGACATACAAGTGTGTTTCTCGTAGGTCCAGTATGGAATCTTTCCAGACAACTTCACTTCCAACCTGCTCATTGATTCTTACCTAAAGGACGAGGACTTCAAGAGTAAGCCATTAAGATTGCATTGTACATTTTCAGAAGTACACAAAGGTTTTGGGACACTTACAGGAAGTGCAAATGGACCTCCCCCAAAACTGTTCCAAGAAACTTTGAAGCATACAGTTGTCCAAAATATCTTGGTTAAATGGATAATAACAATTCAGGTGAAAGTATGTACTGCAGTTATACTTTGTGAATGTTGTATACATTTTTTCATGACTTGGGCTAATTATTTTCTGAAAAAAAAATTGGGGCACAAGCAGACAAGTTAAGGGTGGACACTATAAAGTGGCTTGCGGAGTAAATATTTACGTCCAGTCCTTTTCACTAAATTACTGATAAATGGGCCGAATTGAGGAGCAGACTTTTGTCATCAACATCAAATATTTTAAAGTTTTAAAATAAAAAAAATCTGCAAATTTACTGTTCACACGTGCGCGGGGAGATGAAAGGTTGACGTCTCAAATTTGAGGGTGAAAATGCCACCATTTAAGGGATCAAATCAAATAAATTTTGATTGAACATTCGGATAGTTTTTAATTGAATTATCAATGTTTTTTTATAAATATGAATACTTGTAAATGGATTCCTTATTATCAAAATGAACTATTTTACACATTTTGGATTTTCCACACACGTTCTATTGAAAATAATAATGAATTAAAAAACAGACATTTAATTTTTTAATTGTTACATATATATATATTTTTAAACTCAAGGTTGCCCACCTCTTGGGTTACAATATTTTTATATCATTGCTTGAAGTTCTTATTGCTGTGCTAAATCAAATTCCAGGCGCGTCCTCCGTGGTGGAGGAGTTGATGCTCCAGGAAGCCTTTGACCTTCCATCCACTCAGATCCTGTCTCTGTACACCCTGGCCAGTTACCTAGCAACCAGACCTCAGCTCACTGTGAGTACCACAAAAGGATTTAAGCTGTGATTACCAAAAAAAAAAAATAATAATAATAATCTCTTCTTGAGTGACGTCAGACATACACATGTGTACTCAGGTGTCGCAGGAGCGAGCGCTGGGAGCGTCGCTGCTCATCTGCGGCCTCAAGCAAGACAACAGCGTAGGCCTCACCGCTCGCTTTTTGGGAAACGTTCTGCTAGGTGAGCATAGGACAGGAGATTGCTTTTCCGCTTTTGCAGACTGGAGGTGACCAAAACATTTTCATGATATTACATCAACTTTCTTAGACTTGGAATATTTTATTTGAAAGTAACAGTATGTTGTGTTCTGCAGGTAAGGTGGAAATGCAGAAGGGCATCCATGCTGTGTTCAAAGGCATGCCCCTCTTCTGGGAGCGAGGATATTTGAGTCGAGCACTGGCTGTTTTGGAGGGTGTGGCCGCCTCGCCCGCTGACGTCAAACTGTCCAAAGATTCGGTAAGGAGTGAGCATGTTTCAGTCATACTCCCCTTATTTACTTCATCCAAATGGATAAAAGAGGCACATTGGACTTTTTTTTTTTCAACCATTAAAACTGTTCCCATGATCTTTTACTAAAAGCTTTCTTGACGTTCTATTCTTTTTTTTTTCAACCATTTAAACTGTTCCTATGATCTTTTACTAAAAGCTTTCTTGACGTTCTATGCGGTCAAAATACACCAAGGATAAATAATTGCAGCACACTTGCATCCATTTATCCCTGTCTGTGTCTGATTTCAAAGAACTATGTTGAGGTGAGCTTAAGTGCTTCATCTTAGTAAAAGTTGCGATTTGCCGCCATCTTGTGGCATCTATAGGCAATTATAAACCTTTTACTTATTTACTCATTACTCACAGGTTTTCACTATTTCCGGCATGACTCATCGCTTTATCATCTGTGAATAGTGGTGGACTGGCGATGTACGATCAACTATCAATTCGTATGTCTTATATATAAATAACATTATTATGTAATAAAAGGTAACATTGTGTGCAACGGTTGGGAAAGATACGAGTATACACAAATACTTTTGATGAATCAATTTGCTGCATTTAATGGACAGCAAGGACGTGAGCCAACCATATTTGAAACAGGACTGAATGATAATATTTGCATGACTTAATAAGGGACACTAAAAAAAAAAAGCCTCGTCATTCACCATGTCCATTTCTGTTCAAATACAGAACAGGGCTTGCTTCCCCTTTGTAATTATGTCTGAGTTTTCATTAAAAGAAAAGTAAAGAAAAGGAAGAAATGTACTATCGGGAAAATATTGACACTTCTAAGATGACGATGCACATCGTTTCTGTACACCGCATTTAAAAGAAGGATATTTCGTTTTGAATCAATTGTTAGAATGAAAGCCAAATGAGAAGTGACTTAATGTGTTCCCCCCCGATGACTAGAAATAAAAGACAACTCAGACATCCGCATCAAAGACCTCAAAAGTAGGACATCTGGGGTTGCCATCGCGACAAAAGCGGTGCCATTCATAATCATAAAAGTATTACAAATGATTTGCAGTTATCTTCGGTCCAATTTTACCCAGAATGACCTCTAATTTTCTCGTTCAGCTTTCCAAATGACATCCTCATCTGGTGAGGGACATAACCAAGACACAATTCATCAACTGAGATGGAACACACACACACAATCGCACACATTGTCATATTTTCATTAACATACAGTCAGGTCGAGTTTGATAATCCAGCCTTATTTTAACAAGATCTTGAGAGGGCCCAGAGCGCCTGCTGTGTCTGTAAGCATCTCTGACACAATAGGCCAAACACGTTGTGACAGACAATAAGGGCGAGCGTGCACGTAGCTCTCCAGGACACATTATATGGACATCATATCCCAGTGCCTCGGGTCAGCGCTAAGATTGCATTAAGATGTGGAGGTCACCTGTCAAATAATGCATGCGGCTAACTGTATCTTATTAGGTTTGGGTCTTCGCATGTCCCGGAGGATAAATTAATTCTTTTGTTCATTTCAGTTCGCTTTTCTAGAGGACGTGCTGCAAGGGCTGTCCTCCACCTCAACCGACTCGCCCAACTCATCTGATTCGTCTGGTGAGGAGTCGGCAGGGGAGGAAGAACGGAAGGAAGAAGTTGATGAAGACGACCAGGCGGAGAGAGAAAAGCTTTCTGAGTATGACAGCAAATTCAAGGTGGGATGGCATTTGTAAAGGAATCAGAATCACAATTTAACCTAGTTCCCTAGTTAAAAAGAAGTCTGACATTCTTCTGCTGAGATGCGTAAAAGATAAAGAATTACACCTCTTAAAATCCACTTAAATCAGAAGCTCATGGTGGTAACAATTGTCTGTGCTCACACTGCAGCTCCACTTACCCTTTTGGTTTCCGTGTAGTCCAGCGCCGACTCTGGACATTGGACACTTGCTGCCAAATACTGGGCGGCGAAACTCTGTGTGGTTAGCAGTTATTATGGAAATTAGCCCCGCTGTTACGTAATGGGTTGCTCACAGACGCATTTTCCGAAGGTTGTTTAATTTTTCATGCGATGGGATGTTTGGACACCGCAGAAACCCAACATTCTGTCAGTAAGTTTTCAGATTCAAAACGCAGATGCATGGTCGTACACCACAATCGTTTGTCGTATAGAGAAAAATAACACCGTCCATCATCAGAATGGATTCAGGTCTCTTCCAAATGTGTATAAAAAAAAAAAAAAAACTGAGTCCTATTGGAAATGTGCCCGCGCAAGTGCAGTGTCAACACACAGATGGCCTGCACCTCTGACATCAAAATTGGTGCTGTGGATACGCTGACGTCTGCCCAAACAAAAATAAACCAACTAGAAAACCACCCTGAAATTGACATGACATGGAAATTGACAGTCTAAAATTTTGAATAGAGCTGCGATGTCGCTATTGGGCGTTTGGATCTACAGTGTAAATCCCGCAGAATAAATGTGTGTCTTTTCAGGTGATGGTCAACGAGCTGGAGGCTCGGGGTAAAGTGGACTCGTCCAACTTCCAGAATTTGGCGACCGATCTGACCCAACGGCTGCTGCCCTCGTTGGAGAGGCCAGACCTGGATCAGTACGAGACTCTTTTGGGGGGCTGGGAGGTCGAGAGGAAGCAGCTGATCCAAAGGGAGCAGGAGACCAGGAGGATGGCCCAAGAGGAGAAGCAGGCGCGACTCGCCGCCAAAGCGGCGCTCGAGCAGCAGGCTTAAAGGTTTTACACTGACGCTGTCACTTAGCCCAAAAGATTTAAAAAAAAAAAAAAAAGTACAATATTAACACAGACTGAGTTCTTTTGGACTAAGTTCAAAATTAAAAGCAAATCAAATGACCGGCTTCAGTTGTGCAACTCTTGTCGCCATGTGAACTGGTGAGCAAAAAAAAAAAAAAAAAAATGGGAGCGTTGCATCACGTCCTCCCATGTCTTTTCCTGTTGGTGCGTTTGTGTGTCTCGGGGAGTGTTCTCACAGAGGTAAAGAAAGGGTTATTGCGCTGAAGAATTTGCTGATAACTAATCTGGAGAAAAAGGGGTCATTTGCTGGCAAAGGAATTCAGTTATAAGCATTCAACACAAAGAATGCATTATATCGCGCTGAGGTGTGTACTCGAAAAGCCGACGCTACCCGTATCAAGCGGGAAGCGCTTGACTTGATGTGTCAGGCTGATTAGATGGGAACAGATAATAAATCCCAAGGGCTTGCGATTGAAAAACATCCAATGGTTTGAGTTACTGTGGAATCCGCCACCAATGTGAATCCAGAGGAAACCATTTTCATGTCATTGAGTTTTTTTGCTTGAATACTGAGAACTGATAAAGAGGCAAAATGATGTTCCAAAGAACACATTTTCACCATCATCATGGCATAGATCTGATACGTCAATCTTGTTCACATTTTTTTCCTCAATATCTACGCCGTGACTCAGGTGATTATTATTATTATTATTATTATTTTTATTATTTTTTTTGCTTAAACATTGAGAGAAAAGTGAGGCTCCTTGGAACATATACTTGTAAAGAAAAAAATTGTGGGTTGATGACACACTTTCATCATTTAAAAAATGTTTTTTCTTTTTTACATTGACAATATTTCAGTCCAGTTTTTGTTTCACTTTTATGTGTAAGACATTTTAACCTTTTCAGGTACAGCGGTCACTACAGTGGACAGCTTATCAGGTTACCGGTTGTCATTATTAGTGCACGAAAGGGTTAATTGAATCATTACAAGTCCAATTGTTTTAATGGTCTAACTCAGCCTAATGGTATGTTGACTTACAATAATATAAAATACACTTTTTTTTTAGGAATAAAACAGCTATGTTGGAGAAATAATTCAGATCTGATTGATTAGCAGTACCCATATGTTCTGTTTTTGTGTTTATATTGACTTTTTTTTTTTTAAATGGACAAATAATGATGTCTAACGTTGGTTTAACGCATTCACACCCGAATATAGAAAATAAAAAAGGATATTGCATCAAGTGCTAATGGATACAGAAGGCCATCTGCACAAGCTTCATTTAAGCAAAATAAATATGGAAGGAAGCGGATGTTTTTTATCAGTGCGGCTTGGAAAGCAGCCACGTGCTACTGCGAGACATTCGCCTTCGCAGGAAATTGTATTGCCACTTGATATTCCAAGCTGGTTAGAGGTATTAACCAGAGACCGGCACGTGCTTATCACAGCATTTTTTTTTTCTTTTTCGAACGAACATCATGTTCTCTTCATGGGACTTAATGACCACAAACATCACTTGCATGCACTTTTATTGCCATGCAAACACAAACGAAAGCTGCTCATCAGGATTTTTTGGATTGCAAAATGTGCTGAATGGCTACTCGATATTTCATTATTCATCAGGGCTAACGGCTTCATACGTGTCCCTGTAAGCACAGCGCAAATAGCGTTTTTTTTTTTACATTTGTTTTTGTCGGTCTGTTTGATTGCAAGGAGATGAGTGCAGCATTTGTTCCGACAGCGCTACATTGCTCCTTAGGTCAAACGTAATATTCAATAATATCCATATTCGATTTGGATGCTGTCTCCTTTGTTTGTGTGTTCTTTGGAAAACACACTGTGATTTGTATGATTTCTTTATAGGTGCTTCAAAGTTTGTTTTTTTTTTTGTGTGTGTGCATGTGTGTGTGTATACGTGCATTTTCAAGTCGTGTTTCTTGGTAACTTTGTCTATTCCTCCTCAGTGAACAATAATTTCACATCTGCCACTTGTCTTTTAAGAGGCGATCTGGTTGTGGGAGTGATGTTTGTCCACACAAAGTGTGCATGTCCTACTGACACGAAGAAGCAGCACTCCCACTAAATCCAATGACTCACCAGGTGACTGCCCTTGATTGGAATTTCATAATTTAATCGGAATATTTTTAAAAGAGTCCACCTACACCCTTTTTCCAAGAACAGCCAGTCAGAACATTTGGAGATCTTAGGGAACACTGATGACCACATTGAAGGTAAGAATGAAGAAATCATTGCTTTGTGATAACACAGTGTCACATGGTGCTTGTTCATGGTTGACTTTAAGTCTGTTTTTTTTTTTTTTTTTTAAAGCAAGAAGGAGAAAAATCTGCGAATATTTTGTGGTAAGTTGGGGCATTTTTTTTAATCCATCCATTTTATTGTATTGGATTTCATGGCAGTTTGAGATGATATAAACTCTCACGTCACAACAAGGGATTTTTTTTTTTTGACCCATGTAATAGTGTGACAGCCCCCGATTATTAGAAATGTTCGATTAAAATGTACTTTTATTACAAGATTCTCGAATAACTATCTATAAATAATAATATATAATGATGGTTATTATTTTATTATTATTTACTTGTGTGGGCGTGACTGTCTCTTAGAAGGACTTATCTGGGACCCTAAAATATTTGTCAATTTTTGCGAGCATAGATGAGATTGGAAGTATACGTTCAAGCCCCACAAAAGCAAAAAAAAAAAGATTGATACAAACTTCACTTGAATGTTGACAAGCTGGCGAGGATACAGTTCGTTAGATTGGATGCTGGATAACGGACATCAAATAAGTACTGAACAGCACCACAAATTTGACATTAAGATATTAAAAAATAAATAAATAAATAAATTACAACTATGTAAATCAACCAGCATCTTGTAACACCTGTGTCAAACTCAAGGCCCGGGGGCCAGATTTGGCCCGCAACATCATTTTATGTGGTCTGCGAAAGCAAATCAAACATGTCAGGTTCCATGATGCTTGCTAAAATCTCGACCAAAATTTTAAATTTTCATATGAAATAAATAAAAGAGCTATTGGAAGCATTTTCACGTGACCAAATTCCTCATTACAGTAACTTAAACAATAGTTCAGTAAACCGTTATTATTGACTTCTTTATAGTGTTTCAATCATAACGGCCCACCAAGGAAAACAGGAACTAAAATGTGCCCTGCGACAAAAATGAGTTTGACACCCCCGTTGTAACACATTGTATATGCTTCATCATGTGTGCCCCCCCTTCACACACACACACACACACACACACCTGCCTTCATGTTGGTGTCAGTTAAAAAAAAAAAAAAAAAAGGAGTTGAGTGAATAATGAGCACCCATTACAGAGATCACGAGCACTCACACATGCACAGGAACTTGAATATTTACACCGGATGTGTTCTCCACTGACACCATCTTGTGTTGACTCACTGTCCGGCGACATCAGTTGTTGATGATGAACATGAAAAAGCATTTGCAGCAAATCCGGTTTGACGTTTGTCCCATGTCAATCATCTAAGAAAATGATGACGGTGCCGATTCTGATTTTATCTTGACATGGTGTGAAATTATTTGTCAAAACAGTTGGCATAAAAAAAAAAAAATATGCTGCTCTTGCATTTTGTGATGTTGACTGTGCCCACATACAAGTATGTTATCAGCAAATCTACTAAAGCAGAAATAAACATATCGAGTGTGCTAATTATACACTGAACACCAAGTACAGTAGCAACGCTGTTTTTTTCACCTTTCTTTCCAGCCTGTATTTAATACAGAGCGGTGTGTTTTTTTTCATGTTTCATATACTTTGCTGATCATATCGCTCTTGTGTATGATCCAAAAGTACTCCTATACAAGCAACAATTTCCATTTTAGTTCAGACAATTGCTTGAAACCTTTTAGCCATTCTTAAGAGAATTGAAACAATTATTCTTTGTCAGCGGCAGTTTTCGTTTTTTTTTTGTTTTTTTTTGTGAGGCTGACCATCACTCGGAGGCTCTCGTACGCTCGCTTGCTGTCTGATGTGCTTTTTCATGTTTTATTATGGACCAAGTGTTTGTTTGTTTGTACTTCATTGTAATCTATTATCTTGCATTTTCGTTCAATTAAACAGAGTGGCATTGACAACAACAACTCTAAAAATCTAAAATGTTTAATTAGGAAAAAAAATGTACAGTATTTAATTTTCTCAATCATACAGTTATTTTAAATCACACAATTTTTTTTTAGTCATTTTAGAACGATAAAACAGAATAGTTCTGATTCTTTATCCTGGTCACATCATATGTTTCCTTGCCACTTGTTACTAGGCAGATTTCACCGGGCTAAATCACAACAAGCCTCAGCAGCCAATGAGATAAATTGGCACATGACGTCACGCCCATGATACTATTTGATTGGAAGCTGAAATCAGTGAGACGCACACAAAATAACAATTTCAGCGCTGTGTGTTAAACACAAAATACCTATTGGAATATAAATCAAAATTTTTGGTTAGCACTCTAGCTTACCTGCTGGGAAACATAAGAATTGAATTGATAATCCTGTTTAATAAGGAGACATATTATGCATCATTCAGATCAGGAGGGGCCAGGTTATGGAGGGGCTTGTCAGTCAGTCAAAGAACTTTGTGTCGGGTAGGGAACCGGTGAAGCTGTTGGAGATCAAGACATCTGCGTCTCTATTCAAATGCTGTCAGACACTGAAAGTGCCAAAATGAACGTTGCTTACGTGTGCACGTTGCCCTCTGAAAGCCTGGCGGGGAAGTAAGGCTTGTCCGTGCCTGCCCTGGGAGAGAACGTTTTCCTTTTTTTTTTTTTTTTTTTTTAAGAGAACGTTTTACTCTTCGGCTGCATGATGATGATGATGACGACAACGGTGGTGTTTTTTTTTCCCCTCCGTCAAAAACCCCTGCGGCCAAAACATGATCAGGTGATAGAGCGACGGTTCACACTTAGTAGCTTCAAAACCCAAACAAACATGTACACTGTAGAGGAAATGACTCAAAGCGTCACCAAAAAGCGTTAACTGAAGTTTTTGCTCCTGACTGCATGAGTGACTTAACACCTGCATTTTTTTTTAAGCTGAATGTATTATTTCAGTTGAGGCAACAACCCCCCCCCCCCACTGCCACGATACAATGAATTAATTGTACCGCACAGGATTTAAACAAACCGTGATGTTTTCCTTTTCATTCACAAAGTGTTTCACAATACAAAGCATGCCACGGTATAAACGCGTGTCATTGTTGAGTGCTATGGACAGGAACACTGATTGCAACTTTTTTTCTGTTCCCCCCATAACTCTACTAGAAGTGGTACGAACGTGCCGCAGGTTATCTGACTGCCGCACACAAATCCAGGAAAAGTGCATTCTTAAGGGGCCTAATCAGACAAATCTGCTTTCGCGACATTCTGCAGAGGCTCAAAAACGAGACAGACGTATGGTTGCACGCACAGGATTCTGACATCATACGCTATTTTGCCCATACACCCAAGTTATGTAACAATCACGTTAGGAAAAGAAAGAACTTTTTTTTTTTTTTTTGCCAGTTCTCCTGTTCGGAGCCAACACCCAGAGATGGCAAAAGTACTTGAACACTACGCTAGAAGTACTGATCCGTGTGTATAAAAACATCCTGGTCAAAGTAGGGGTGATGATTTGACTCATTTACTTAAATAATTAAAAAAAAAAGTACAGATCTGAAAATGCAGATATCTGTGTTCAAATCTTTAGGGGATCAAAGTAAAGAGACCTTAGAAATAGAGTACAAATACACCCCCCTGGCCACCCCCAAAAAGTCTACCTCAGTAAACAAAGTTTTTGTACTTGCACCTAATGATTTGCCCCCAAATATTTTTCACTTAAAAATTATTGAAACAAAGATTTCTTCTCCCCTCACTCCTGGTTTGACGCTGGCAGCAAAGAACACAACAAATGCGTTTTCCAAGCACGCAGGCTCAATCAGTGCGGTGACGTCAGGGAGTGCCACTCCGAGGCCAACATGTTCTTCTGCAAGCTGCGGGGAAAGATGTGGAAGGCCTCCAGCAGATGACACAAATAGTCAGTCTGCTTTAGTAGCACATTAAGCGGCCATTTAGTTTCAGGGGCACTTAACCTTTTAGTGCCAACTGGACTCTTAAAAGTCCAAGAAGTGATTTCACTCGGTAGTCAGGACAAGTCAGAATTTTGCACCCTCTATTTCATGGACATATAGCGCACATTTGACCCTGACTTTACGGAGCAAATCAAGTGCCATTCATCCGAAACTGAAGGCTGGTATCGAACGCAGAAAATGTAATGCAGCTCTGCTTACCTCGCACTAAAGCAGACACTGGCTAATTTAAACATACCCCCACCATTTTCCACACATGCATTTGTGTGTTTTCATTAGTAAGATCAGACTTCTGTCTCGCGACCCACAAATATGAAGATGAAAGCGGGATTATTGTCTCATATAGGTTGCTGAACCACCTACTTGCAAGATGTTCGTGGAACACCTTCCGTGTTGCTACTGGCCTCTTGGCAGCCTGCCTGACCAATTTTCTTCCTCTCTTTTCATCACTTTTGGTGTGACGTCCTGTTCTTGGCCATATTTTCTCCACTTGATGGTGATTGCCTTCACCATAGAACACCTGGTGTATTTAATGCATAGGAATTTCTTTTGTGCCCTTCTTCTGACTGATACATTTGAAGAATAAGATCCCCATGATGCCGTGAATGCTGGAGCTTGTTTTGATAAGATGTGACCTATAAAAATGTCAGAAAAAGCCTACTAGAACATCTGAACTTGATTCGAGGTTATTCGGAGGCACCTTAAATAGTGGCAGGTGTTTGCTGACTCCCAATTCATTCATTCATTCATTCATTATGAGTTTGGTTAATTCTGAACACTCATCTCCACAGAGGGGTGCACATTTCTGCAGCTTTAGTATCTTATTTGTATTAGCGAAAATATTTTTCTTTCCAGTTTGACCAATTATGGGTCACATAATGGAGAGACAAGTTTTGAAATGATTTTTCATCGTCTCGTTTAGAATACCACAGAAGCCTGGTGCTGCTTGTTGATATGTTAAACGAGAAAGTAGTGTAACAGCCTTGGCATAATGACAGTTTTAGGCCCCGCCCAGGTAAGCAGAGTGACATTGATGGCTGAGGTCGTTTATTTGCGAGTCGATGGGCACGTACGAGAGCGTCAGTCTTCGACGTGCGGTAAATGAGGCGTTTGTGGCTAAAATGACGTCAGGTGAAGTGCCTCATGAATAAAGATACCCAAGACGTCAAATGCATCTCATAATGTAAGACTCACGTAGATCATTCATTCACTCAACTGTGTAGTGCGCTCTGTGTTCCAACAAGTCAAATAGAACTTGAAAGGAACCAAGAGTGTTACTCAGTGGCAGAGTCCAAAGTCAGTCAAGCAGTTCAACTGAACCTTTTGGAGAAAAGTACACCACAAAATGGGTCGCACAAAACGCGTAAAGTGAAGTGTTATCACGCGTGACCTCAGTACTGGGCAAAGCAAACATTGTCGTAAAAGAAGAACTGAATTTACATCGAAATTGGACCTGAACAAAGTGGGGTTGTAATAAACGCCCATTAACTTCTTTTTACACTTGTATGACAGTTACAAATGATAAATTGATACACTGAAAAATAATTTGTAGAAATTGCTGAGGTAAAATTGAGTAAATGGAATACATTTTTTTCCAGAGCACTTAAAACCTGGCAAATATAGTATCACATAGGCATACATACAATAAAAATATTCTGACTTTAATTGTATTATGTATAATTAATTTATATGACTAAATTATTTAATAAAATTCATGTTCATGAGTATGTACAATTTACTTGTAAATAAAATGCTATTCATTCATATTTTTAAAAGCCATGATGTTAGTGTGTTTCTAATTGATTTAGCAATTAATAAAATAAATTGTTACATGTACTAAGTATTCTTGTTTTACAATATGCTGGATTTGTTTTTCCTGTACATTGAGTCAATCAAATCATCAAAACAAATAAATTGAATATATCCGTGTAAAATAAGGAGATTATTTTACTACTGACTTACTCGCACATATATGCACTTGAATTATTTTAACCAATCTAATAAAATAAAAAAATATATAAATAAAAATAAAATTGTAAAATATGTATTGTTAATTGGCGCTTCTTCATTAAAAAAAAATACAACAAATAAATTCACAAAACATCTAACGAGGTAAATGAATTAAAAATAAAATTTGAATTTTTGGCGTGAAATTTCCGAAGAGCAGGTATGTTGACATGAAAGCAATGATTTTATGCTTTCAGCAGCGCTGAGAATACTTTGTGTATTTTCTAATGAATGACCCAAATATGGGAGCGAAAGGAAAATGAATTCAACAATATTACATGACACCTGATATTGTAAATGCTCGATTATGTTTGCATGTACACCGATGAATACACGAAAGGTAATAATTATACTGTACATACTTTATTAGTACAGTTCAATTTAGCGCGATGTCAATATGGAGGGAAAAAAGTGCTCATGTGATGGCTTCCATGGGGTGGGAGGCGTTCCAAAATTTTTGACACGATTACATGTGAGAGAAACCCAAAGTGGGAGGGACTCGAATGTTTGAATGAAGTCACCGCGGCGTGTGAGCCTGACTTCATCTCTCACTCCGGCTGAGGTTCTCACCACGGACGCGCGCCTCTTCTGAAGTTACTTTTTGACTCCTGCTTTGGGACTTTTAATTAAACAATGCCACCGAGGTGTTCTGCCCCCGAGCGGAGTTTCCGGCGCGTGGAGAAAGTTCGTTCATGAGTAACACTGCGGACCGTCCGGAAGATGGAGAGCACGACGAGCGAGCAGTCCGTGACGGGCCGCCCCATGATCCCCACCATCCCGTCCATCATGTTCATCTTCGGGGTGGTGGGCAACGTCATCGCCATCGCGGTGCTGTGCAAGTCTCGCAAGGAGCAGAAGGAGACCACTTTCTACACGCTGGTGTGCGGTCTGGCCGTCACCGACCTCCTGGGCACGCTGCTGGCCAGCCCGGTCACCATCGCCACCTACGTGAAGGGCGCCTGGCCCGGCGGGGAGCCCCTGTGCCAGTACTTCGGCTTCACCCTCATCTTCTTCTCCCTGGCCGGCCTCAGCATCATCTGCGCCATGTCCGTGGAAAGGTACATGGCCATCAACCACGCGTACTTCTACAACGACTACGTGGACCAGAAGCTGGCCGGCTTGACCCTGGTGGCCATCTACGTGTCCAACGCGCTCTTTTGCGCGTTGCCCGTCTTGGGCTTCGGCCGCGTCCAGAAGCAGTACCCGCGGACTTGGTGCTTCCTGGAGTGGCGGAGCAACGAGACGAGCGACGCGGCGTTCAACTTCATGTACGCGGGTTTCAGTTCGGTGCTCATCCTGGCCACGGTGCTGTGCAACGTGCTGGTGTGCGGAGCTCTCATCCGCATGCACCGGCGCTACATGCGAAGGACGTCGCTGGGTACCGACCTGACTCGCGGCAGCGTGGACTCGCGCAAGAGGGGCCGAAGTTTCGGCCGCCTGGCCGGTGCCGAGATCCAGATGGTCATCCTGCTCATCGGCACCTCGGCAGTCGTGCTCATTTGCTCCATTCCGCTTGTTGTGAGTTGGCGTCCTGCGCCTTTACGCACATTTTTACGCAGCGTCCTCGAGCGAATGCGTTGGGTTCGTCTGGAACATACGAACACGACGATGACGTATTCGAAGGATTTAGATTCTGTTGTATGAGTGGCAACAGCGTAGCTGTGTTGTATTCGGCCATCTTATGGAAGAGCATTTCATGCTTTTCTTTATGTCCTGGCGTAGATTTATAGATGAACATAGATATGCTGTATTAGTTGATAAACAGACAACTAAGAGTGGATAGTTTCCCGCGCCACTCCTGATGATCTCTCATGACTGCTTTACCATGGCAACCGGTCAATTGCAAATATTCTGGAAATAACACAAATCTAGACACTTTTGGTAGTTGGAGTGCATCATATTTCATCATATTTCCTATATCGCCGTAATCTGATGCCATAGAAAGTTATTCAAATGATTCGTCAGCATATTATGTATTTACTACAAATCATATTTCTTTGCTTATGTATATACAGTATGTCAAGCAACAGAATAACAGCTTTGTAGCCATTTACGTTTGGTTTCAACCTTTCAACCGCACAAAATAATTGAAAGATTGCTTTTGAGCAAAGGCACCTCACCTGTAAAGTCCTGAATAGTAGGAATCGAATATTGGCTTGTTCAGTTCTGAACAACAACAAGTTGGTTTCCGGTGATGGTAAACATGATGTTCTACTTTTAACAATGCTACTGCGGTTGAAGTCAAATGAAGATACGTTTCCTGTTCTTACTTTGAACTTCCCGTTGTCAAGCATCGTGTAATTTTATTGTGGTCACCCCACAATTTGTTTCTCGGCCAAGCTTGTCGCTGGTCTTTCGATACGAAGAACAAAAAGTCACCAATAAATTGTCTTCATGATACAAGGGAAATAAAACCACCGATTGCCCTCATATGCTGCAATGTAGATTCATTTTTGCCCAGATTTTTTTTTTGTCTTAGTCAAGTGGAGAAAATATGCCCCCGCCCCCAAAAAAAAATAAAAAATAAATAAAGAGTTGGGTGAACTCAAAATTTCAAGGCAACAAAACTACGATTACATTTTAAGTTTGGGAATTCCATGACATTTTTAAAAAAGTTTTTCGTTGTGAAAATGAAACAGGCAAGAAAATGATTTTGAAAGCAGCTTTGTAAAAAAAATCTGATCTGTTTGTTTGTTCGCATTCATTTCACAAATGAAGAGCCACTGGAAGATAAAAAGTAACATGCTTTTATTTAACCGCCCTGCCCTCTTGCATTCTTGCTCCACTTGGCACTCATGCATTGTCAGTGCTGAATTAGGCATATAATGACGCCAAAAGTTTATTTACACCCATGATTTCAGCGAGTAGATCAGCACTTTTAAGAACACATCTTTTCCAATTTTTAAAATGAAAATGCTGCTTTTTTTTCCATTAGATTGCCATCTACTGGTAGGGCAGTGTCGCACTTTCTTTCTTTGGTTTCCCAGTGTTTTGAAATGTCTTTTCTTCGTTCTCTATTTGTAGGCCCAGGTGTTTCTGAACCAGCTCTACAAGACGCCGGTTGAACTGCGCTTGGACAAAAACCCGGATCTCACGGCCATTCGTTTTGCCTCCTTCAACCCCATCCTCGACCCCTGGATTTACATCCTGCTACGCAAAGCCGTTTTCCGCCAGCTAGTAGAGAACATCAAATGTCTCTTCTGCAAAATGGGTGCCAGGAGCCAGAAGACGAGCGACAACGGGAGCTTACGCTGCATGGACGCCGCGCCCCGTCCGACCTCCTCGGCCGTCTCCAAGAGGGACTCGCACTCGCTGGTGTCCGGTGACCTTCCTAATATAAGCTCCCAGACTTTCTTGTGCAACTCACAGGTAAGGGACGCACAGGCAATGAGCTGCCGTGCCAATCACAAAGCGGAAAGTCTCTCATGGGCTTCATCGTGCGAGCAGGGTAACGTGGCCCAAAGGACTGAGGGGGGCACTGTGATTATGGGCCCCCAGACTTCGCCAGCTAAGGACCCCGGGCTACAGGTGTCACTCAGCTCTGCAACCATGGAGGAAAAATGCATCTGACCTTGCACTGACTTCGAAATGGAGCACATGTGGAAGGAAGAAACGAGTCATATCTCACAGGCAATCAGTCAGGAAAAATAATGCAAACAATGAAGAGTTTAGCACTGTTGCCTCACAGCAAGGTCTGGAATGCTGAATTTCCAAGTATTTGAAAGAGTCTCCCGTAAATGGTTAAAGCAACTCCAAAACTTGTGTAAAATCACATGAGCTACAAAGTGAATTTCATGACAATGAAACATAACAGGATCGGCTGACAAAAAGGGAAAATCAGTTTTATTTGTCCGTCCATGTGTTTGCTAGCAGCTACTTCCTGGTTCAGATGTTAGCATTGGACTAACATGACTCTCCTATTTGAAATCCGGGATTATTATTATTTTTTTTCTAAAGCAGAGGTTGAATGGTTCTGTTGTGGATCAGTGGCAAAAAAAGGGAAAATCATATATGCTTGTTTGTCCCTCTATTTGTCAGCGAGCAGCTAGCTCCTGGTTGAGATGTTAGCAAGAGAAGTAGCCTACCATTTTAATTTTCGGGGAGGAGGAACAGTTTCTTTTTGTCAAAAAGACAAAGTAAATCCCTCGAACTAAAAATTGTGACGCATTGTAGTTTTGTTTGTCTGTCTTGTCTAAAATTAGCTCCGTGCTACTTCATTAGGATTGGCGACGAAAACAGTTCCATCATAACTCAAATGGTAAAAACTAAAATAAACATTCCTTAATGAAAAGGGATTTTTTTTTAAATTGTGTGCGTATATGTGCAAGTGCTTTGTGACATTTGTCTGACAAAAAAATGAAAAGAAAACTCATAAAATCCCATCCATCCATTACATATAGCAATTAGCCTCGTTAGCATAGCAGGTGAGCTGTAGGCTATCGCCATTGACTTTGGGCAAAAGTCTGACTAATTGCCAGCAGACTGCAGGGCACATATAAAAGTTCCCAAAATCAATCACAAGGAGCAACTATTTAGTCCATTAAGCTTGTTTTTGGAATGTGGGAGGAGACAAGATTCAAACCTCAAACTCCCGCACTGTGAGGCAGCCATGCTAACCACGAGTGCGCTGTGCTGCTTGTAGAGTGCAATATTTGTTTGTCCATCAACGTTTCTGCTAGCTGTATCCACTTATTGGTCACCAGGGCGGAGTGAACAGAAATCCACACAAGTTTCCTGGAATCAGGGTGTGTGCTTATTGCATAATCTTGATTATTAACTAACAAACAATGACCAAAACTATACCTTTCCATTAGCCTTTGATGAAATAACTCTTATTTGCCTCTCAGCTACCTCCGCTTTTGTTTTTGGGTGTAAATTTGATTTTATTCCAACAGAAATGACCCACTTCTTTGTGACTCAAGCAATGGGAAAAGACACCCATTCTATTTTTGGGCCACCTTGTGACAATCATTTTTGGACAGCTTTTTAAGTTGAACTAGCTGAGGTCAGAATGTCAAAATAACAGCTGGGACCAGCTGATTCATGAATTTGTGGGCAGCAGCAGTGAATGTGATCCTGCTGGTAGCTGTCTTTGTTTTGGATTCTATTGTACAGCCCCCCCCCTTTTTTTTTTGTTATTTCAGCCCCATGACTAATGTGCAGTGTGCAGTTTTATTTTTGTGGTGAATGGCAACTGTTCCTTTTTTTGTCTGTACTGGAATCCACACGAACATTTCATCTCAAATATCTGAAGAAGGTACAAAAGATTCCAGTTTGTGATATCTAATTATTTACATGTGACTGCCGGGAATATTTTTTCCACGTGTGGCGTGTTTATGCTTAGCGTTGAGTTTTCGAGGGTTTTTATCACGTTTGTGATGGATGTGTGAGTCGAGATGGACGATGTGGTGACAGATGTTGTTTTGAATTAAATTTGCTCGCCAATCCCAACTACAAAGGCAACGATACGCTTCAGCATTCCTGAAAATCTGAAGTTCATCGACAAATGTTGCAATTCAGATCCGACCGACATTATTTGGGCTAGCTGCGAAGTACTTTTCATTCATACTTAAAACTGTTCTTAATGAATTGCCCTACTTGCACACTTCACCTTGCGTGTTCTAAGGACACCAAAAAAACTGCAATATTTGACTGTGCGTGTACAGCAGGTGCATGGGGAAAAAAAAAGGGTCAAACAAGAACTTCAGATTCACACTAGAGCAGCCCAGGTGTACTTTTGATTTATTTATCATACATACAGGCCAATTGTAATGTTGTACAATGTGATTTGATTGACATTCACCATCTACCATGTAACCAAGTTACTTTGTCACTTATACTCTTTTAACTCTGTAATTGTGAACAAACAGATGCCTTTGCAAAGATGTTCATAGTCATACCTGTTATGTTTGTACAGAATATGAATATTTGTTCCCTCATTTCACATGTTTTTTTGTAACATGCTTTTAAATCAGTACCATTGTAATGCAGAAGGATGTGATGAATTACTGCAGTCTTGTTATCATGTGAGTTGCGCCAGACATATGGCACATCTGTCTTCGTATAGTGTCAACATAAGAGGACGGCTAAAGTTTCTCACATGACTTTTTCCTGCTTTATGAGCTCAACTCCAAGCTTTCATCCAAAGGACGACCCTGACAAGAGCAACAAAAACATATTTAGGATTAAGATCCACAAATAAACCAACAGGCCAATCGTCGCTCATTACAACCCATGCCTGATGCGTCACACATATAAGACGCAGGCAGAGGGCGACGATTAGAAACGGCTGTAAGACGTCTGAGGGGAAGTTTCTACGCTGGAATAATAAACAGAGTGGAAAGCTCAACGGCCTTGCAATTAAACTTAAACAAGCAATGATTTGGCTTTAAAAAAAAAATAGAATAAAAATCCCACAGAGTCTGGGAAGACATCACATAAGCTAAATGAAAGCGCCATGTTGGGATGTAAAAGGAGGAAGACACAATGTCTCCCTCCATTTCTGGGTAATTGGATCTGTTTTCATTTAATTCTGGAACCGAATGGGCGTGTGCTTAGCGTCTGTGCGAGCAGGTGTGACTTGGCATACGCTGTCAACACCCGTCGGCACAGTTTGACCACATTAGCTTGAAATTTGCATGGATCCAGCTATTAGTATGCCGATTGCCACACGAAACAAGCTCAAGAGATGCACGACAAGACGGGGAAACGGGTAAGTGAAGATGTGGGTGATTCTGTCACTGGACGTTGACAAACTGCAGAGCACACCTGCAACTTCGACTTATCTGCCGAATGCGCCTGTGAGCAGATGCGATATAAAACACAGACCAGGAAACAAGACAGAGCTGATGCAGGAAGTGATAAGTGTCTTTTGGACGACGTATTAAAGACATCAAATGAGACACATTCGTGAAATGTGTCGTGAAAGTTAAAAAATAATATTCGGATAGATGTATAATACGGTGGACCAGCGGTTAGCCCGTCGACCTCACAGTGCAGAGGTCGTGGCTTTGATCCCGGCTCCGGCCTTCCTTTGCGGAGATTGCATGTCCCTGTGCCTGCGTGGGTTTTCTCTGGGTATTCTGGTTTCCTCCCACATTCCAAAAACATGCGTGGCAGGCTGATTGAACACTCAAAATTGTCCCAAGGTGTGAGTGTGAGCGCGGATGGTTGTCCGTCTCTGTGTGCCTTGCGATTGGCTGGCAACCGGTTCAGAGTGTCCCCTGCCTACTGCTGGGATAGGCTCCAGCACCCCCTGCGACCTGTGTGAGGATAAACGGATTGGAAAATGGATGGATGGATGGATAGTTTAGAAAATTAGATGCAATGCTAGAGGGGCTTAACGACCGCCCCCATAGCCACGGGTTCACGCCCTCCATCCCTGCCCTGCCCACCCCTTTGTCATTTTACAGAGCAAAAGAAAAAAAAACTTGAAGATGTGGCTTTCTCAACCTTGGACGGCAACAGTATTACTGTATATTATCATCAGGCAATTGCATTTTTTGTTTTCTTTAATGGTGCATTATAGGTCAAGTCATTTGTCTTTGACAAAAAGAAAGCCTCACAGGAAAGACAGGATTTGTAAAGTCAAGCTGACAGCGACAACAAAGGAAGACAAAACAGTGAGATTAGTAACAAAAATGTCCAACTTTTAAGATGCTATTTATTTGATCCAAAAGATATGAGCACAGTTCATCATGGTCTGATCTTTCATCGTGGGCTGAGCGTCAGTCAACCCATGATAAAAGATCAGATGAGCGAGAGTGTAGCTGCAGGGCAAGGAATTCGTCACGCTCCTGACTGTGAAATCCTCACAAACATACACTGTGTGGAGAGATAGTTGTTTGCAAAGGTTTCAAAGCAGTGTCATGTTTGCCATTAAATTCCCATGCATTAAATCAGGAGCTTATGTAACCCTCTGGAAAGTTAAAAAAAAAAAACAAGTGTCCTCATGACAGAAACCCCGGGAGACAGAAGTATCGTTAGGTTCCTAGTTTTTGTCGTCGGGTGGTGAACAGTTCTCAGTATGCCGCTTGATGGTGTTGAACTCGAGCCTGTTGTGTTGGAGTACTGGTGCGAGGGTGGACGATAAGTTTGTCATGTCTTAAGTAGGCAGTTTCCCCTCTGTCACGTGCAGCTTTTAATTTTGGGAGGAGCTCTTTTCTTTTTTGTCGTACGGTATCTGTAAAGTCTTCGTTGATGTAGATGTTGGAGCCTTTTAAGTATTTTGCTTTTTGTAGGATCCTTGTTCTGTCCTTGTATTTTTGAAATTTCACCAGAACTGGCCTTGGTCGAGGTCTTCCAGGTTCATGTCTTCCTGTGCGGTGAGCTCTCTCCACCTCAATTTGTCCCTGTAACAGCAGCTTTTCCTTGAGGATTTTTTGAACTTTTTCCTCTGTTTCAGTCCACGTTTCTCCCGGTGTTTCCTCAATTCCATCAATTACCAAGTTGTTTCTTCTTGACTGTCCTTCCAAGTAGTCCATCTTGTCTGTTAATGCTAGCATGCCGTCGCATATTTTGTAGATTTCTGCTTGCATGTCTTTGGAATGGCCAGTTTTGCCGATTAGATTTTTTTTCATGTCGTCTACCTCTTTTTGGGTAAAGTTGATGCTGGTTTTTATTTCTTGGACTTCCCTGGTAAAAGTGTCAAGTCGTGAGTTTGTTGAGTCGATTATCATCTTGACAAATCCTTTGAAATTTTCCTGTTGTTGTTGCAAGAGCGCAGTAAAAAGCTCTTTTTGTTGCTGGAGTAATTCGTTTACTTGAGTGAGGGTCAGGAAGTCCTCATCCTGCTTTGTGTCTTGCTTCTGTTTGGGTGGCATTTTGTCGGGTCTCGTTGCTAGCCGGTTGTATGCTAGTTTCAGAAATTACTGATACATGTTAAACAGTGAACTGTTAGCTTGCTAACCGGAACTAAAATCGATTGATTTTGCCAAGTGAAGGATAAAATGCCGACATGAGCCAAAAATGGTAATTCATAAAAACATGAGCTTTTTTTTAAAAGTTTTTTTTACTACTACTACTACTACTACTAATAATAATAATAATAATAATAATAATCATAATAATACAAATAATAACAACAAACTGGTTTTATATAAGCAGGGCAGATTTATTTATATGGCACATTTAACACACAAGGTAACTCAATGTGCTTCACATTTTTAATAAAAGTACGACATTTAAAAACAAAGTAAAGAAATAAAAATTATCTTTCCAAAATGACTAAAAAGCACCAAAGCCTACTGTGGAAGAATTTTTTTTTTTTTAATTTTAAAAATAGTGTGAATCATAGGTAGGGGTGAAAAGCAGAGTTTAAATATGGATTTGGGGCTCACATTAGTTGGACCGCTGATTCCACGGCAAAATGCTGATTTCCTATGTTTGTTTTGAACTCTAGGTATAAGGCTGTTTATATTTTGAGCTTTTCTACAAATGGAAAGACACAATGGCACACAAAGTAAGCCATTTCCAGTTTTGGCTGTCATGCCTGCACTCAACACATATTTAAAGTGCACATTGACCTCTTTCAGTGGCTGTTTTCAAAAACGTCTACTCTGTGATCTGTTTTTGCATTTTTAAGTGTCTCGACAGAAAGTCACATGCGCGCACATTACTGGAAGCCAAGAAGCGTTTCCCAGCTTGCTGCATTTTCTCTGCCAATGTAACTTAATGATTCTTGGCCTACAGTGATGATTTTAATAAACCATCCCAGGATATCATATGTCCATCCATCATGGTCCAAACAATCATTAGTGCCTGTGATCACCTTCCACGCCAACTTCACCCCCATTATGTCTCTGGGATACTTGTTAATCATCATTTATACTCCAAAACTGGTTTGGAGCATCTCCATCACGATGAGCTATCGTATTACCCCACCCCGCTGTGAGGTTTCCTGACAACTGTGGAGATTTTAACTGCAGTCAGCGTGCTGTGTTTTAAGATGTCACTACGATGAGTTACCACTTGCTGAGACAACAAATCATTTTATTGTCGATGAGTAGGAAAGGCAAAGTACTTGTGAACTACAAATGAAACAATGTGTAAGGTCTTTTAGACATGATTCGTACACATGATGTGATATAACTTGTGGTCATGCATTTGTCAGCTGTCATCGAGTGGTTAAGGACGGGGTCCAGGTTTCATACCCCTGACCAGCACAGGCATTCATTGTGCTGCCGTAGCCTCCTAATATTTAACTTGGCAGAGTTTGGATTTAGTATGAATTGATAATTTGCCTCCCTCATCTTTTTTCATTTTCAAATTTTTTTGAAAACACTCCAGAGCGCCACTAGATGGCGCTAAAGAGCTGATGGCGGCTCTTGAGCCGCGGGTTGCCGACCCCCGGGTTAGGGTTAGTGTTAGGGTTAGGGATTAGAGTTAGGGGTTAGTGTTAGGGTTAGGTTTAGGAATTAGGGTTATGGTTAGGGGTTAGGATTAGGGTGTAGGGTAAGGGTTAGGGGTTAGGGTTAGAGTTAGGGGGGAATGGTCAGGGTTAGGGGTAGAGGGTTAGGGTTAGGGTAAGGGTCAGGGTTAGGGGTTAGGTGTTAGGGGTTAGGGCTTAGGGTTTAGTGTTAGGTGTTAAGGGTTAGGATTAGGGGTTAGGGTTTAGGGTTAGGGGTTATGGTTAGGGGTTGGGTTTGGGGTTGGGATTAGGGGTTAGGGTTTAGGATTAGGTGTTAGGGTTAGGGTTTAGGATTCGGGGTTAGGGTTAGGGTTTGGGGCAGTGGTTCTTAACCTGGGTACGATCGAAACATAGGGGCTCGGTGAATCAGTCTCAGGGGTTCGATGGAGCCTCTGCCATGGAGGTTAAGATACACCTGACTCAAAATGTTAATTAGTTATGGTTAGGGTTAGGGTTAGAGTTAGGGGTTAAGGTTGGACTTAGAGTTGGAGTTAGGTTTAGGTTAGGGTTAGGGGTTACAGTTAGGGGTTAGAGGTTAGGCATAGAGTTAGGGTTAGGAGTAGGTTTAGGGGTTAGGGGTTACGGTTAGGTTAGGGTTGGGGTTTGGGTTTCAAGATAGGGGTCTTGGCTTTGGGTTTCGAAGCCTTAACCCCAAACCCTCACCCGTAATCCTAACCACCCCCAACCTAACCCCTTAACCCTAACCCTGAAACCCAAAGCCCAAATGCTCACACTAACCCTGAACGCCTACCCTAACCCCTCAACCTAACCTGCTAACCCTAACCCTAACCCATAACCCCACATCCTAAACCTAACTCCTAACATTAACCCTTAACCCTAATCCTAAACTTTCACCATAACTCTAACTCCCTACAATTAAACTCTAACCCTAACTCCTTAAACCCTACCCCTGACCCTAACCCCTAACCCTAACCCCCGAATCCTAACACCTAACCCGAACCCCTCACCCCTAACCATGACCTAAACCTAATGACTCACCCTAGTTTGAAACCCTAGCCCTAGTTTGAATCTCTAATTTGAAACCCTAATCCCTATTACATAGATGATCAAAATTGCAATATTTAGCAAGCGAGGCATAGCATAGCTGAAAAAGTTTATTAAATGCAAAGATAAATGTGAATTGCACCTAAAACGATTACATGAAAATATAAGTTTTAATATTGCATGCATTTAGTGGTGAGCCATCAGAACATTGAATCAGAAATGCACTACCAAAACATGGTTGAATCTGGGCTCACTTTGGTAGCCAAGGTAAACAACATTAAAAGGCCATATAATCTCTGTTTAAAGTAATCCCAATTGCTACCCAAACCACTTCCTTAATGGTGGTGCATTTTTGGTGGATCTGAATCCATTATTGTCAAAACACTGGAAAGATGCATTCAATTAATCATAATTTCCATTTATGTATTTCAACGCTCAGGTTTCTTCCGCTTGCTACTCCTCACCACTAATTGTCGTTGGCGTGGATCAACATGGATTGTCAAGTGATTTTGTAGAGAACAAGCACACTTGCCCACACACACCCTATCAAATGTCACTGCCAGAGATGCACACATGTGAGGACGTGCAGACGCGCAGCGACTGCTGGTGCACCCGTGGCTCAGAAGGCAAAAAAGCGCATCAGAAGCTGGTGCCACTCCAAAATTCTTACACAAGCTCCAACAGGATTTGCCAGCAAAGCCAGAGTGACTCATGCACAAGAGGGCTTGGCTAAAAAGTGATCATGATCTCCTTGAGATAACATCAGAAACACGACACAAGGAGTTAAAATCAATCACAGAATATTTTGCTGGCAGGGGAATGTTATCCTCAGAATATTGTTGTTTATCTATCGTGGATATAAATCATTTACACACCCTATCGGGTTTCAAAGTAGGGTTAGTGAGGGCTTCAAAGTAGAGTTGAGGTTTCAAAGTCGGGATTTAAACTAAGATTCGGGTTTCAAACTTGGTTTGGCTTTTACAGTCGGGCTTCAAAGTATAGTTTTAAAGTCTAATGTGGTTTTCAAAGTAGGGCTTCAAATTAGGGTTGAAAGTAGGGTTAGGGTTAGAAATAAATCCAGGCATCAATTTTCTCTTGAATGCCGGGTTTATTATTATTTCTTCCTTCACGGACTGCTCAAGGCGACATAACACATCAATAAGTATTCCGTCAAGTATCATAAGGATATCATAAATCTCATAATATTCTTTGAATATATCACAAAAGACCGCTTCAGTTTAATAAATATTGGATCACCCAGGCGAACAGAAGACTTATTGCTTTGGAAAAAATCAACCCTTGAAGTTCATATCGCCCAGTTTAATTAGATAAGCAGGAGGCAACAGGAAGTTCACACTGAAAGCTGGAAGAGGGAGATAAAACAAATAGTTAAAAAGATACTGTTACGGAAACCTCTGCTCAATTTCAGCCTGAGTGAATGGAGGATACCAGACTGTTTGGTGTTTTTCCCATTTTGAACTTTTCATCTCATCCTATTGTGCGTTGAGCACAGGAAGAAAACATTGCATTGATTTGCTCCGTTTCTTGGGTCCCAAGAACAATAATAGAAGGAATATAAATGACTATTTAAGATAACATTGACCGGTCTTAGTCCCTCAATGGGCGAATTTGCAAATACCATGGGAAATAAATACACAAAACCAGCTATGGTCATTTAAAAAAAAAAAAAAAAGTGTTTATTGTATTACCTTAAAAATCTTAAATGGTTTAATGATACAAATATATTTGTTTTGATAAATTTTCCTCCCCTGTTTTTGGCCTGATAAACATGATGATAAGCTTACCTAAAGGCAATGGAAATCAATGTAATGCAGCTTACCTTAATGTAGCTTAATGTAGTGTGACATAGTGTACAAAGTAGCTTAATATAATGTATATGTATTTTAACATAATGTGGCGTAATGTTATGTAGCTTCAAACAGCATAGTTTTAACATAATGTATCATAACGTCAGGTAACACAAGGTAAAGTAGCGTAAAGTACTGTATCGCAAATGTAGTGTAATCTAATGTAGCATAAAGTAAAGTAGCGCAGTGTACATATGTAGCATAACATCATGTAGTGTAATGTAATTTACTCATGTCGTGTAATGTCATGTAGCCCAACATTATGTAGCAGAATGTAATGTAGCGAAACTTAATTTTGTATTATGTAATGTAGCATAACATAATGTGGAGTCATAAAGTAGCGCAACAGAAGGTAGCATAATGCAATGTACTGCAAAGTAATGTAGCATAAAGAGGTGTAGCATAACATGATGTAGCACATTGTGATACGATGTGATGTGATTGAGTGTAACGTAACGTAGCATAATGTAAGGTAGCGTAATGGGAGCTAGCGTCACGGAAGCAAGCATAATACAATACTGTATGTCATAACACAAGGTAACGTAACATAAGGTGATGTGAACTGGAAGAACGAAATCCAAGACACAAATAAAGTCCTGAAAACCCCAACAAACCAAAGAAACAAACAAACAAAAATCCATGACAGAAGGACAAAACAACAACCGGACCAAGACTGACAGAAACCAGGGAACGAAGTACAAGTAAACTGACGAGACAACATGGACCAACTGGACAAAGGGTTGAGGCAGCTCATTGGTTGACGATGACAAGAACAGGTGGAAACAAAACCAAACAAGGAAGCCCAAAGCCACATAAGGAAACAAAACTATATAAACAAAACCGGAATCATGACAGTCCTCCTTGGTCTTGTCAACTAAATCCGTCTTTCACTTTGAATGGAATATGATTATCTTACCAGAACATGATTGGACCACAATCGTGGACCTCTGGGAGATGACCGTCACTGTGTTTCTTTGTGTGTCCCGCTGCAAGCATTAACTTCCTCTTCATTTCCTCCTGCGCATCCATTGTGACCTAAAAACTCTCTAGCATGTTTGTTTTCAAACATTTTTTTTCCACTGGATCTTCAGTGTTGAGGAACTGAAGCATTGTTGTTCCACAGATTTCCGTCCGTGCTGATAAACATTCTGCAGCTTTTGGGAGACCCGGGTCAGGCTTTAAAGCAGGGGTGTCCAGTTCGATCTTGGCGCCAATTGTGAAACAATTGTTTTTTAATTTTTTTTGGGGGTGGGGGGGGGGGTTGGAAAGTTGAAACAAAATGTTGAAGTTAAAGATATTACACTATTATACTACATCTTTTAAAATGTAAAATATATTGAACTTTTTTTGTATTAAAAAAGGAAGACGATATAACACTAAATGAAGAAAATAATAAAATGTAATATGCTGTTTTGAAACTTATTTTTAGACACTCATGTATTAAGCAATAACTGCAAAAGTTGAAATATAGGCGAAGACGGTAAGATACACCAGTATGGCATTTAAGAATAGTAAATGTCACTTTAATAAAAAGAAAATAGAAAGCGCTAATAGAGTAACATGTGTGTTTATGTTTGACCCTGGAAAATTACGAGACAATTTCCATTTTTTCTGAAAAATTCAAATTATTTTGGAACAAAGTCTTTTTTTTTTCAAGAAAGACAGATAAAAAGTTTAGCATATACAATGTAAACTATGTCATATAATAATAATAATAATAATGAAACCACAGTTTTAAAACTTGTGTATTTGTGGGATAAAAGTCATTTTATTACGATATAAGTCATAGGTTGATTGGGGACTTTTCACATGGAATATTGGAAGAACTCAGAGGTGGACCCAAGAGTGGATCATTTTTTTTCCTTAAAACATGTGAAAATGAACTTGGTATCAATGACTGAACAAAGATCTTGGGTTGAACTCGGAAGATCTTCAGATAACGGTGCTTTGAATCCAAGTTCAAACATTTTGCAGATAAACACGTCTCAAGTTTTAGCATCCACTGTGGCCTATCTGCTCCTCTGTAGTTCCAAGTATTTCCTCAGTGTTTAACCCATCTCGACATCCGGCAGATATCTTGTTTGGTTTGCTGGAAAAGTCATCATGAAAGACTTGTTGGAACTCCCTTTCCTGAAACTATATCACTGATTTTGCATTTTTATAAACACAACGCAGGTCACCCAGAAGGTTTATGCCTGTGGCATCTCCACTTCTGAAAGGCAGCACCTATCTATGATCACCCTTTTTTTTTGTCTCAGAATCTGTCCTAATCCTTAAATTTTGCTGATGAGGGACATACAAACATATCACAGCATGAAAACGGGCTTTAAGAGTTTATTGTATTGATTTATTTATCTATTTATTTGATGAGGCAGTTAATTAAGAACTGGTCACAATGTTTGAAAAATGAATGAAATATGAACGTTACCTCTGAACAGTCCAGATTGCCAATAGGCCTTAAATTTTGCTGATGAGGGACATACAAACATATCGAAGCATGAAAACGGGCTTTATGAGTTCATTGTATTTATTTATTTTATGAAGCAGTTAATTAAGAACTGTTCACAACGTTTGAAAAATAAATGAAATATGAACGTTTGCTCTGACCAGTCTAGATTACCCATAGTCATGGATGTGATTATTGTTATATTGGTGACCAGGGTGAACCTCTTCCACTAAGTCACTTCACCCATGAACCTAATGAGGAACCAGTGGAAGAGCGCGAGTGAAGGTGTAAGAAAGAATCATTTTACAAAGCAAAAATGTGAGCAAATATATGTCTCCCTCTGTTGGCAATAAAGACAACTGCATGCTTTAAACCCCCGAACGACAGTCATAATTACAGTCATAGAAATGCTCTTGAACTGAGTGTTATGAACCTCTTCCACTAAGTCACTTCACCCATGAACGTAATTAGGAAAAGTGCTATAGGAAATGTATGGATGAATTCACTTCAAAGTGGTTCTAAATTAATCAACCAGTGAAAGAGCGCGAGTGAAGGTGTAAGAAAGACTCATTTTACAAGGCAAAAAAACAAAACAAAACAATTATGAGCAAATATCTGGCTCCCTCTGCTGGCAATAAAGACAACTGCATTCTTTAAACCCCCGAACGACAGTCATAGAAATGCTCTTGAACAGAGTGTTAATGCCTTGAAGAGTGTCGAGCTTTTCTACGAGTGACTTGACAGCAAAGTCATGAACAACACAGCCTCGGCATATCAAATTTGGTCCTGAGCCTACATTTTGGACTCATTCGACTTTGAGAACAAAAACAACAACACAACCACAATCAGCATTTATCATGATTATCTTCACATTCCACACGTTCACGTTCATTTTTACACACTTCATGAGTCATTTATTGTAATTTGGCTTTAACTGCGGAACTATATACAAGATTAAAGCACATTTGTCATTAGCATTGGCTGAACAAAAGCTGAAAGTCATGAACACATTTCAGTCCTCCAATCCTGAGATCTACTCAGGGTCATTACGTAACATCTAATTCAATTACTGCATTTATAGTCAGCGGACATTTCATTAAGTACACCTTCATGTGCAAATAAGATTGAATGAGATTGATCGGAACTCTTCTGACAGTGAGCAAAATGGTTGTCAAAGCAGGATTACTTGTGGTGCCATCAGGTTGTGCATGTTTATTTTTACCTGGTGTCGATACACAGTCGATGCTGTTGCTGTCTTAAACAAGCACTACCTACTTACGTTTACAATTTTAAATGTATTAGAACTTTTTTAGTCCAAGCAATCTATCCTCATTATTTGGTGTTGTTTCTCATGGCTGCGCTTCTTCGATGACATCAGAGCTATTCCGTTCTCCGATTGGTTGCTGAAAGCAAAAAACGCGTGTCTTTAGTCATCTGCACACAAGAATATAAACTGCTCAAAAAATAGAAAATGATTCGGAACCATTCCAGATAATGTATGAGACACAGTTGTGTGCGGATATATTGATGGTTTGTAGAATTTTAAATTAACAATAATAATACAAAAGTTGTAGCTTTTTACAAATATTATATTGTGTAGTAAATCAAAGCTAGTTTTGGTTGCAAGTAACATTTAGTCTCCTTCTGTAACATCCACCATTGTGAACAGGCTGCTGGTACAGACTAGTTCCTGGGTCAACTTCTTGTCCTCAAGGGTGGTTTCAGTGCAAGATGAGGCCCAATAAAAGTTCCAAGGGTCGACTAGTTCCTGGGTCAACTTCTTGTCCTCAAGGGTGATTTCAGTGCAGATGAGGCTCGATAAAAGTTCCAAGGGTCATATCGTAGGTGCGTCTTTGTGCTACCCTCAGCCTGGTTTCACATGATGAGCAGCAGAGAGAGCAGAGAGCCGATCACAACAATGATGCTGTTGTAGATGGGCCCGCTGGATGCTCCGGTGTAGTACTCCATATCTCCAGAGCCCTCTGGCTCATACGCAGGCCTGGCTCCGTAGCCACCGCCGTAGCGCGGGTAGCCATAACCTCCTCCATAGCCCCCATACCCTCCGTAGCCTCCATAGCCCCCATACCCTCCGTAGCCACCGCCATACCCGTACCCGGGGCGACTCAGGGCGGAGCCCAGCATGGCTCCTCCGATGGCCCCCGCCGCCGCAGCCCCGGCAACTTTACCGGCACTGGGGCCACTGCTCCTGGGAGGGGCCGGTCTGTAGGCTTTGTGGGTGGTGATCAATGAGACTGAACCAAAAAGAAACGTTTATTATCTGTGAAGCTGTAAAACACTCAGTGATTCTCAAAGTGCAGTCATCTGAGTCGCTGTAGTGGCAGGCGAAAGAATCACTTTGCAAGTACAATTCAGGTGTCCATGAACATTTAGACTTCCTATACTACTGTATTTCAGTCTTGGTCATGGCCTGCTGCCACCCCAGCCCCCCCTGAAGCCTCCGCCACGCCGGGCATCCGCGCTGGGGGTTAGTGTGGCTAAGAGCAGCACACACATTGTCACTGTCAGGGGCACTTTTTGTAGCCTGGACATGATTGCTTCACCTGTCACAACACATTGAAAACAAAAAACAAAATCAAATAGCAATAGATATGCTAATATTATACATACATATACAATATATACTACTACTAATACAGTATGGAGAGTAAGCTGCATAATTGCCTTACTGACTTGATAGAGTTGATTGTTTTGCATTGAAATCATTTTATTCGTGAGCAAAAACTCTGAAGTCAATTGACGGACTATAAACTTCTTTTTAAATATTAACATGGGAGTCTTGTGGGTGGTGATCAATGAGACTGAACCAAAAAGAAACTTTTATTATCTGTGAAGCTGTAAAACACTCAGTGATTCTCAAAGTGCAGTCATCTGAGTCGCTGTAGTGGCAGGGGGGGGGAAGAAATTGTTAGGAAGAAACAAGAGGTGAAACATTTAGACTTCCTATACTACTGTATTTCAGTCTTGGTCATGATAGAATTTTAGGGTGTCTATCTAACTATCTATACTTACTGTAACACCCAATAAACAAATAGATTACTCCCAATACAAGAGAAGTTATTTTTACCTCAAACTAAAATAGACACATAAGATCTTCTGAAGACGGCTTTGTTATTTTTACCCCACTGATTATTGAAGAGCTCCTAATAATCCGTCTAAATGGAGACACACTTTTTACACAAGCTTTCATAATCCCCTGTTCCACTAATTGTTTTTTTTAATACTCTGTGCTATAATACATAAAGATCTATCAAAAAGTGGACAGTAAATGTTCAATCTAAAATGATGCCCAGATTGCTTGTAATAGTGCCTCAACCAACCTAAAATGATTGATCACAGAATTGGAGGAATGGACATAATTACTGCTGAAGTGAATGACATCATTTGTTCTATTATTGAGACGTACACGTAGACTATTTTAAACCGGCAATAATCCAATTACAGTGTCGGTCATTCACAAACAAGTTGGGAACTTTTCAACACAAACAAATGTGACGTCATCCGTTCAGTGGCGCACACCCAGCTGCAATAATTTACTCATAAAATAATGAAATAGATCTCATGCGTATGAACTTTGTTGTTCCTCAAGCACTACATTTCTGGTTTTGGTCACTTGGAAAGATTCAGAGCGGCCCGGTGGCCGACTGGTTAGCACGTCGGCCTCACGGTGCAGAGGTGCAGGGTTCGATTGCGGCTGTGGCCTTCCTGTGTTGATGTTCTCCCTGTGCCTATGTGGGTTTTCTCCGGGTACTCTGGTTTCTGGCAACCAGTTCAGTGTTCAGTGTATCTCAGCTGTCTACTGCCTGTAGACAGCTGAGATAGGCTCCAGCACGTCTGCCACCCTCGTGAAGATAAAGCGGCTCAGACAATGGATGGAAAGATTCAAACTATTTACACTCACCGGACATTTAATTAGGTACCCATGCAATGAGGTGCATAACAAGAGCAGCTGCAATTTAGTCTTCTTTTGTGAAGGTACTGGAGATTGTTGCGTTCAAGTCCCGTATTCAAGGATCTCATTAGATTGTGCAAGTGCACCTAAAGATCGACCGAAGTAAATTGGTTTTCCACTATATTCAAATTGAATGTTGTGGATCAAAAAGGTGCTCTCACCTGGTTGCCGTTCTGGGGAAAAAAAAACAAAAAAAAAACAAAGCACGTTTCCGTCCTCCAGAAGCTGAAAACCACCAAGTGTGTGTATGCGTGTTGGGCTGCGTGTGTTGCAGTAAGTGATGTGTGATTCAGGGTCGGTCACTTACCCTTCAGACGGTCACATCGAGGGGATCATCAGCCCGCCTGTCATTGGCTGGCTGAGTGGTAATCTGTTGCGCCACTGACAGTAAGACTTAAACACTTCATGGTCTAATTTTGAAGGAATGCGCTTAATAGTCCAATGAAGCAGCGAAACATCTTGTTACGGGCTCGACTAATAGGATATTATCTGTTTGAGTAACGTTAGATTGGGGTTGGGAAAAGTGTGGCCATGTCGTTCCCGTTATCCCCCCTCACCGAGCATGACATTATCAAGAGTCCCGTGATATTATTGCAGCCATTTTGCGATTTGAATTGGTCAAAGTGTATTTATTTTTAATTGTAATTAATAGTTATTTTATATATCGTTTCAATTTTTTTTGTTTTTACCTTATGGATGAACCAATTTATCCATCTGTTTGTTTAAAAATCAAACGTGACCCTTCAACAGAAATGGTTATCCACCACCGTAATGAACCTTGCCGAGAACTTGTTACATAACCATACCAAAGTGAGTTTTTTACAAATCCAACCATTGCTTCGTTTTTAACGACCACTTCGGCCTACTGAGCTAGTGTAATTTAATGTTGGCCATGAAAGTGGTGCAAGGAGATGGCACTTTGTGTAAAAAAAAATCCCAATGTGCTACAGAAATTGGAAGGACGATGGCTGACACATTTAACTGGTGCCGATTAAAGTGGAGGCCACTATATAAGCAAATAAGTATCAAAATGTTTTAATCATACACATTAACCTATCTTCTCTAAAATCTCTTTTTAATTAAATTACAATCATTATACAACACCACCCGGCCCAACATTTTCACATCAGCATGAGTTGTTCCCATGTGAAGGATTAAAATATTTCATAGCTCTGCCTAAGAAGTCGTAAAAAAAAAAAAGCAGTCAAAAAAAAGTCTGAAACAAAGCATGCACATTCTCAGAATGACATACAGACATTTGCATGGACTCTGTAAGTACGACACAGTAAACTACGGGTCAAAAAGAAAACTACAAGATCACCGAAAGACTTCCTACAGCGACACAGAGAGTGCAGTAGACACCTTGCAGCGGCTTTCACGGTGTCACCAGTGGGCAAATATTTCTGGAGTAACAGACACGCGGGACGCAACACGATGGCGTCTTTGTGTGCGCCGCTTTCACTCTTCACTGACCTACTTCCACTCAGGCTCTGCGTGTGCATATAAGCCGTGTGGATCACGCACACATTAACAACGGAAAACAGTAACAACAGAGACAAGCAGACACAAGCGATCTTGTGTTGTGCACCATGCAGGCTTAAAATAACAGCCCTCAAAAGTCTTTTGCTGTGCTTTGAACATGTCGACATGACATTCGTATCCGTACGTGGGATGTGATGAATGACGTGTCCTGTTTGGAGTACCTATAAGTGGAGAGTAAACCACTCCGCCACCGGCAGTAGCGAACAAAAATGCCCTAAGTGCATTGTGGGTACAGAAGGAGTCTTTTGGCCTTTGTGCTCATCATTTGATTTGTACGTAGAGGAAACATGATCAAAGTTCTTCGTTTGTGCTTTGTGAGTTTTGAGCAGGCACTTGACGAAAAGCATGACATGATGCTTGTGCTTTAAATGGACATGAGACAGTGTGGGTGGCGCCATAGCCCCGTGGTTAACGTGTCCGGGTCGCAGTTGAGAGGTCAGGCAGGTTCATTCGGTGACGTTCTTTGAGGACTCTCAATGGAGAGTGAGTGGTTGTTTGTCTACACGTGCCCTGTGATTGGCTAGCGCCCAGTCCCGGGTGTACCTTACCTCTGACCCAAAGTCAGCTGGAATCGTCTGCAGCTCACATGCGACCCGAATGAGGACAATGCGCTATAGAAAATGGATGACCAGCCAATCGGTTTGTCAGCTTCCCTGAGTCACACTGTGTTGTATCATGCCGGCACACAATGTAACCTGCTGTCTGCGCCACCCAGAGCAGACACATCAAGATGGCGTCCTCGTCTCGTGTGTTTGAAGCTTGTAGTCGTCCGGACACTTCGACGTGATGCTGCTGGTGGTTGCTGGTGTTCACATGCATGCGGGGCCTTCTGGCAGACAGCCGAGCTGCTTCTCTATGATGCAGCGTAGGACGTTGTACCTGCGGAATGTTAGCATTTATGAATCAAGGATGTCTTCAAGGGGACATTTTAGGGAAAATGTCATTTTGAATGACTTGTATGCTGATAGGTGCGTCTGTGGTGTGCCTGCCCACTCATCAACTCATCAAGTCTGTATTTAACCCACATAAATCTAGTGTTATCTGAACATGTGTCTGTGAGCGGGCCAATCTGCACCAATCTCGATATTACTTAACAGCGTGGCTGATTTACATAATATTTGCCCTGAACTGAGTTTCTGCCCCCATATTATCTTCTGATAGTTGTCAAGTACTTGATAGCTTAATGAGGTTGTCGACAGTGTGGAGTTTGTGTTTGGAGATGAGTCCATACACAACCACATACAAACAGTGCAGTAGTTTATGAAGCAATGCCTCTACAAATAAAAAGCAATTTCATTTCGTTTGTGACTGCCCATTTTTCCTCCACACACTCTGCAATTGGAAGACGCTTTATAGTTGTACAGGTCAGGCTCTACTTGCTCCAGTTGTCATAGTAACAACAGTCAAGACTGTCCATTGGTCTAGCAGTGTATAGGGAAGATATATAGCCACCTGTGTATCTTTTTTGAAATTGTGACAGAAAATGGAAAATATCACCTTCAATGTTGTGTGAATGTACCTTCTCCTCAGCTTCTGCACCTCTCTGTCTTCCTCCTCCTTCAGCTTGGTGATGAAGCTCTGCAGCACGGGCATCTCAAACTTGATATACTGCGCCACCTGATGGAGTGGAGGAGGAAAAGTGCACATGAGCGAGCAGAAAAGAACCCATGCTCAGTTGGGTGTTGTGTGTTATTTACATCATATGTGACTTCTTCTCCCAGGTCCTCCTCCATGAGGAAGAGTTTGCACACCTGCTCACACGGACCTTGCATCACTCTCAAAACCAGAGGGAAGTCACTGCGCTTCAGCTTCGCTCGCTCTGAAAAACAGACGCACACGTTTTTGTTTTTTTTTATTGTGGATTTTGAGCCTTTCATTAACAGGGATGGGCAACTATTACATAATAAAAATGACTCAAGTGCTATGTAGGTGCATTCCATACTGTAGTTGAGCAGTTTTAAGATGTAATAACAGTGGTCACCACTAGATGGCAGACCTCACTTACAAGCACCTCCAACCCTAAAATTGTACTTGCACACCAGAGAAGAAGAGAGCACATTCCGGCTGGCATTAGGTCATGAAAATGTGTCTATGCACCGAATTAAAAGCAAACCTATCTGCCAAGTTTGCTTTGAGATGCTGTTAGCTATGAAAGATTTCAACCGAAGTCACCAATATAACACTCATCTCAAAAGTACAGTCCCCCGCCCTTTCCTCCTTTCTCACACAAACCACTCAAAGTCAGTTGACAAGTGCGACAGAAAATTGATGAACGGACTATGTTTGTAAATGTTATGATATGTGAAAGTGTCATTAAAAAAAAAAAAAAAAAGAAAATCCGATACATGTGAGACAGCGCTATTACTCACCCCCACTTGCATGGACGAGGTAGAGTGCAAAGTCATCCGGGCTGTTTTCAATTTTAAACTTGTTGAGGAGAACTCTGAGCACCTGAGGTGTCGTCATGCAGCTGTTGATGCGAACGTTGGTCACTGAGCCGAAAGCAGGCGTGAACACGGCTGTCTGAGAGACGCAAATATCAAAACATGAATGGAATTGTTCTTATGCACATTGCCTACAACCCCTTCTTCCTTCAGTATTCAAGTTTCATCATTTTAAATGTTTTTTTCCCCTTTTATATTCTTTGTATAAGTGGACTGAAATGTACAACGTAAGAATTTCATTGCTTAGTGCCACGTTGTGCTTTTTACTCAGCACATGACAAAAAAATGAGTCTTGAATTGTAAGTTTGTGCACCATTCATGGGGCGAGGTCTAGCGAGTCAGGAACATTGCAGCTCTGATTTTCCACATCTGCTTTATGCTCCTTGCAAGTGTTTTCATTTTGTATTTGAGTGTTTAGGCTGCTTGTCACAGAAAAGTCTGAAGTGCATTGGCAACTGTGCCTGTTTTCCCCCACTTCACTCAAATTTTATCTTGCATCACAAAGTAAGAAAATAACAATGTGTCAAATTGTACCACAGAAAATAAAGTATTACTGTTTTTAACAGCCTGTGTTCATGTGATTTGCTCCTCGTATTTCCAGTACAAATGCGTCACCTTGTGGTTGTAAAAGTGTCCGTTGATGGAAAAGCGATGGCGTCGGATCTTCCTCTGGTCGCTGGGGGAGCGGCGGTGGACTCGCCTTAGAATTCCGGCATCACTCTTGGTTCTAAGTAGCTGAGCTGAGGTCTCACTGTCCTCTGTCAGGTCAACGGGAGAGACACCATCACCTAAATGAGTTGTTGCTTCATTAACCCGACTGTGCACCGCTCATGGGGACATTCACCTTCAGCATGCTCCTCCATCTCACCGTTGTCTTCCGAGTTGTTGTCAGGCGACGTCACCACCACAGTGGGCGGAGTCACATGTGGCGTTTGTTGACTGTCTGCGCTGTTTGGGGAGCTGGAAGGAAGTCATGGATTCAGAGTTTGCTCGTATTTTTAATTTATGTACGTATTAGATGCAGTCTACACTAACTGACCACAACAATTGGTACATCCATGACATGTAATACCACAACCATCCATCCGTCAGTTTTCTAGAGCACTGCTCCTCATTAGGGTCATGGGTGACCCATAGACAGTCCGGGGTGACTTTATTTTATTTTTTTATCCAAAAAATATTTGGTAAATTGAGTGATAACAATACAATGTAAAATAAGCAATTTGACATGCATTGTACAAGCCTTTGTTTGTTTAATGGCTAATTATTTTTAAAATGGGAATCAATTAATATTCATAAATTATTTAAAATGGGAATTAATGTATTAATAAAAAACATATTACATATACTCCTCAATCATTTTGTTAAACAAATGGTCAATGATTATTGTTGAATTTCTTTTGAAAATACAATCCAAAATGTTAATAATTCTCGGTTTATTTTGCAAATAAACTATTTTACATACACATTTAACAATGTTCTATTTCCTGTAGAAAATAATTGATGAGTTACTATAACAAATGAGATTTTTTTTTATTGTTCACATTAATGGTTTTACAAATTTTACACACACGCACGCACGCACGCACGCACGCACGCACGCACACACGCACGCAC